AAATATAGAAAAATTAATGAAACCAAATGCTGATATTTTGATAATATCAACAGAACTGAAAAAAATAACTAGTCATTGATTCAGAATAAAAGAAGAGACACAAATCACCAATGTCAAGTATAAGAGTGACACTACAGCAATATTTTCAGCTATTAAAAGGTGAATAAGACAAAATAAATCATAAAATGTAAATCAATAAACAGTAATTTAGATGAAATGGAAAAAAACTCAAAAGATATAAATTAACAAATATCACTCAAGAATAGATAGATAACCTGAAAACCTTTGTGTCTATTAAGAAAATTGAATTTGTAGTTAAAAAAGTTCTTCCTACAAAGGGCACTCAGACCCAGATAGCTTCACTACTGAATTATAAATAGCATTTAAATGCCCTTTCATTTTACACAAACTCTTCCAGAAAACAAAGAAGATAGAATACTTCGCAAGTTATCATTTTAAGCTAGAATTTCCCTGATACCAAAACCAGGCAAAGATATTTCAAAACATTAAAGTTCAAAAAAAAAATTGTCCTGGATGCAAAAATCAATCCTTCACAAACTTTTAGTGATTTGAATATGACAACATATAAAAAGAATAATAAGTCATGATTGATCAGGTAAAATATGTGGCTCAACAAAGTCCCAAGAACTACAGTATCGACATAGCCATGCTCCCACCTACAACCCCAAACATTAGCTAAAAGCAGCACTCTTCAGAAAAGGTAGAGTGTGAGAAATGTTGAAAAAGGAACAACACTGAGCTAGGAAACCAGCAGGCCCTGCTCTAGAATGAGTCCTAAGACCCAAACCAAGGTCTCTGATAAAACAGGAGGTGGTGAAAAAACCTGCCAAAAACAGCTAGAACCAAGACGGTCACAAAAAAATGACCTCATTTTACCCTCACTGCTCATGAAACCCTGCTTATAATATATTAGCATAGTAAAAGAAACTCCCACCAGCACCACAACAGTTGACAAGTGCAATTCAACTCCCGGAAATTACACTATATGGTTTAAAAAGAAGTACCCTCAGTTCCTATAACTCCCCATCCCTTTCCCAGAAATCTTATGAATAATCCTTCTTCTACTTAACATAAAATTAAATAGAAGGTATAAAATAAAACCCCAGAAACTCACAAAGACCTACGCTCTGTTGCTTTTTTTTTTATTTTAAAAAGACATTTACTTTAAATATTTTACATATAACATGCATAAAGCATCTGACCAGAGAACTGACGAAATTGCTTCCTTGTGGCCAGAGAGGGTCACCATGGGAGTCCTTGTTAGTCCCAGCTGCTCTGTTTTCTGTTTCTTTCGAGGTCGATTTGTAGATTCCTCAATTTCATCTTCTTCATCTGTAGGCACTGTAGACCAGATCTTTAGCATCTTATCCCAGGAGCCACTGCAAAATTTAGTTCCTGAGCTATCGATGGCTACAGAGACCACACTTCCAGCATGACCTCTGCAGCAGTGTAGGGCTTTTACTTTGTTTCTCTCTACATTCCACTCCCATAAAAGAATAGTCTGATCCATAGAGGCACTCAGTAACAAGCAAGACAAACTGTCTTTTTTCACCCAAGCCACATCTTTTACAACGTCTGTATGTCCCACAATTGTCATTATTGACTTTCCTTCCAAGGACCAGATCCGAGAAGTCTTATCATAAGAACCAGTCAAGATCCATTCCTCTGCCCCTTTAATTGAACTGATCCAGTCATCATGGAATATGCATTGCTCTGGCTGGGGTGCAGTGTACTTTTCTACATATTCTAGTTCCACAACTTCTTCTGATGAGATGTTCTCCAGTTCCGTGTCTTTGACCAATGGCATGCGCAGAAACTGGCCCTTGATAAGGAAATCAAATTCCACATATTTGTGGAACTCATTTTTGTCTTTCAGCAATTTATTGATGATGTTACTAAGATCAGCAATTTCAGAGGCAGCAAGGATTGAGAAGGGAACATCATCTACCGCATATTTCTTGTTATCAGTGTAGAAGCGTGTTTGGAGCTGAGCCATGGCAAGGAGTAGACACAGGACTGGTCCACAGAAACGTATGGGTTAGTGGGAGCTCTTGTCTCTTAGGACTACAAAGAGGCAGCTCAAAATTGGACTGCACAGGTAAGCCAGAAGCTACAGTCGAAACCTGGCCTCCTCTTTCTTTCCTTGGGTCTTCTCAGCAGAAGGCACCACGAGGCTCTCTCTCTGTTGCTTTGAGAGATAGCTGCTGCTCTGCCTGTGGAGCAAGCCTTTCTTCTGTTTCTTTGTTACTATTTTACTCATTAATATTTCAATAAACTTGTTTTTGCTTTACTCTGTTGGCTTGCTTTTGAATTCTTTCCTGCGTGAAGCCAAGAACCCATTTGACTTTCAGACCAGACCCCCCAGTTTTGGGGTCTACTTTCCTGTATCAAAATGAAACATAACTGCTTCCTCTACAGCTTGCCACAAAGCCCATGTAGATAATCACAGCTACCTTCTTGTACCATCCGTTCTATGTTCCCCTTAGACTCTGCCATAACCTTGGTTCAATGGTCTCCTATACTTTGTAATATGATCCAAAATTTTATTCCTTTTGTATCGAAGCCAATAAACCATCATAGTAGTACAAGAAAGGAATAAGACATAGTCTTCCTTCCTTGCCTACCAAAATTAAGCAGTAACACATCCCCCTTAGTGGTCAGTTTCAATCATTTTAGGCAACAGAACAAGCTTGTTTTCTGCCTATTGGCAGGAGGATCTCAAAATATCCAGGACGTAGTGTTAGCTTCTGATAAAATAGAACCATAACTGTATTTCCCATAATCCATGGTGGAAGCATTTCACCATCATGCACTAGGACTTCTAAACACACTGAGATCAAGAGAATAAAAAACACTGAAATAACAAAAGTCGGGGTTACTCCTATCTAAACTTTTTGGTTCCAGGACACCTGTACTCTGACTATGAGAAAATGGTACCATAAATCCATTGGTTTAAAGTATATAGCACTTTCCATAGTACAGCATACTAAACTTAGCCTTAAGCCAGGCATTTCAAGTACGTCAGTCCATATGCTTCTGGGAAATAAAGTGTGTTGGAAAATTAGTGATTTCTCTGTGTATGAACCATTGCCACTCTTCCCTTTACTATAAAATGTGACCCTAGTCAGAAGCAGCATTGAGTGGAATAAATGGCAATGAATGAGCCATTCCATTCATAGGAAAATCCCCATGAAGCTAAAGTTTTATGCTAAAGCTGTCTGAACAGCTTCCATGGGATTCTGTACCACTTGTACAGTGATTTGCTTCTGTTTTCTGGACCTCCTGGAACCCATGGTCATACAATTTCCATTTTGAAGTGAAATGCTGTTGTGCATGTCCAATTTTATTGCTGATTTGATCAAATAATAACCAGTTCTTCATGGACATTTTGGGTCACTTGATGTCTCATAGTCAAAGATTCAGTCCCCACCAAGGCCTAACAGCAAGTCAGGAGCCACTTTGCATATGAAGAATAGTTATTACAAAATAAACCACAGCCTTATTGCAAAACCCTATGGAGGTTTGAGGCTTGCTCAAGGCTCTATATAGCCTATTTATCTAAGTCAGATACTTCCATTAACATTGGGTCTACTGAGTCATAAAACCCAAGCAGTAGGGCAGCTTCCATCCAACCTGGACCTGATTCAAAAATTCTTTCTTGGTTCAGGATCCATTCAAAACTGTAAATGATTCAAGAAACACACTCAAACACTGCTTATGTTACCTAAAAAATCTGAAGTTCCCCACAGATTATTTTTTTCTTTGTACTATGCAATACTATGTGAGAACACGTTTTTCTTTTTTTTTTCACGAAATTAATTTTATTGGATTAAGAATCTAAAATAATTAAAAATTTAGAAGCAAATATTGAAAATATATTTGGGAAGGATTATCTAAACAAAATGCAAAACTGTGTTATTCAAAAAGGATAGGCTTAATATATCAGATGACATTAAAATTAAGAACGTCTACTAATCAAAAGATACTGTGAATAATTAATTGAAAAGGAAACAGAAGACCAACAAAGGATTGATATCAGAAGATACAAAAAAATTTTAAAACACACAAAAATACTGTCAATAGTAAAATCATCAATTAACAGGACAAAATCATGCATAAACAATAAACCTACTTAGAAACATTCACCCTCAGTAGTTACCATATAAAGACAAATTGATAATCAAGAGCTACATTTGATCTTGACTGGAATGGTAAAGTCTGGATAAGAGTTGTGGAGAATGTGTAACAACTGTGGTCCTTGGAAATTTATATGACACTATCTAATAAATCTAAATAGATAAGTGTATTTTATTCAATGGTTCCTTCCTTAAACAGCCTTGAATAACTTTTGTGTATATATATTTCCAAATATGTGTGGTAGACTCAGGTTGTAATAGCAAGAAGTTGGATGGAACATCAATAACCATAAATAGTGGCATAGTCAGGGTAGAATGTTATCCACACATAAGGTTTATTAGCAAAATTTTTAAATTGCTTTTCTTGCAAGTGATCAAGACAAATTCATACCAATTGTAGAATTAAAGAAAGGTCTCTAGGATTTTTTAAACCCACATATAATTTCACCAATTAGACATAATTATTATTATTTTTTTTTCTTCCAGTTTAATTTCTATGGTGGCCTATGCAGGGAGCCAGCATTGGCTCTTCCACTTACTTTCTGCTTTCTCCAAGGTAAATTGGGTTGTTTAACTTTTCTAATGCCCATTATCTAGTCTGTTAAAACAAAAGATAATATTTTTTAAAAATCAACAAGAAAAAATCAAACAACCCCATCAACAAATGGGCAAGGGAAATGAACAGAAACTTTTCAAAAGAAGACAGAATAATGGCCAGCAAACATATAAAAAATGCTCAACATCTCTAATCATTAGAGAAATGCAAATCAAAACCACAATGAGGTATCACCTAACCCCGGTGAGATTGGCCTCTATCAAAAAAACACAAAACAACAAATGTTGGCAAGGATGTGGAGAGACAGGAACACTTATACACTGCTGGTGGGACTGCAAGTTAGTGCAACCTCTGTGGAAAAGAATTTGGAGATACCTCAGAGAGCTAAAAATAGAAATACCATTCGATCCAGCAATAGCACTATTAGGCATCTACCCAAAAGAGCACAAAACATTCTACGATAAAGACATCTGCACCCGAATGTTTATGGCAGCACAATTCACTATTGCAAGAATGTGGAAACAACCCAAGTGCCCGTCAATCCATGAGTGGATTATCAAAATTTGGTATATGTTTACAATGGAATCTTACTCAATCATAAGAAACGACAGTGATTTAGCACCTCTTATACTTTCCTGGATTAAACTTAAGCCCATTATCCAAAGTGGGGTACCACAAGAGTAGAAGAACGGGATCCATTTGTACTCACCATCAAATTGGTATTAACTAATCAACACATAAATGCACATATAAGAATAACATTTATTGGATGTTGGGCAGGGGGGAGGGGAAGGGGACGGGTATTTGTATACACAAGGAGTGCAATGCGCACCACCCGAAGGATGGACACATTTGAAACTCGGACTTGGTGGGGGGACCAAGGGCAACATACGTAACCTAAACATCTGTACCCCCATAATATGTTGAAATAAACAACAAAAAAAAACTTATGAGAACACGTTTTCCTTGCTTTAGAAAGAATAACCTGACATAGCACTAAATCCTAGAAAATTCAATATATCAAGGACCCTAATCTTTCATGTATGTTTATCTCCTATCCTCTGTCAAGCATATGTCTTAATAGGAAGTCTAGGATGCTTGCCTCACTGGCTCCATTTAGTAGAATGTTTCTAATGTAATAGATGAACTTGATGTCCTATGGGATACGGAGATGATTAAGAACCATCTTTAATGTATTTTTAACCGAAAGCAGGAAAAGTGACTGATCCCTAAGGCAAAGCAGTAAAGATACAATGTTGTCTGTGCAGAATGTTTCTTTACTGTTAGGATGGAACAATGAAAAACTTATTTTAATTTAAAATTAGAGATGTATTAACATTCTCCAATGAAGATACTATATCTGGAACTCTCTAATTAAATATTGGAAAATATATTCTAATTCTTCCTAACTCACTTGGCTTTTGTACTGGCCAAAGAGCTGAGTTAAATGGGGATGTACTGGGAATCACCACTTTTGCAACTTTCAATTCTGTGGCGATAGAACTAACTCTTGTAATTCCTCCAGGGATATATCATTAGTTTATTGTCTTAGTGGAAGTTCTGAGTGTAGGTAGTTCCAAACAAAGGCTTCATTTGGCCCTTTCTACTGTCTTTGCTACCTTACTGGCCAAGGAACCACTGGATCAGGTAAATGCCTGTAACTACACTTTCTACTACACATTATGAGACTGGAGAAATGACTAAAGGATATACCTGTAAGTCTACCAACCATTTCCCTTTTAACACATAGGGTTACCCTCTCACAGGTGTGCAGATCCCTCTTTGGAAGTCTTCAGGAACGTTATACAAATTATAATGGTGAAAGTATTTCAGGGTTCTTTTTTAAAGAAACCCAAGTTCAGGGATTCTGGATCTGTGAGCTAACTTAGACCTGAAAACTAGGCTAGTTCCGTTTCTGCTTTCTTGACCTAGAATTTTTCTCCTTATATATGTCAAACATAGTATTGCAAGCTGCCTTTTTGTTTATTTCCTAAAGAACGCCTGATCAATTAACCATGAATACCTCTTCCTATGGGTCAAAACCTTCTTCTCTCATAATATATTGAACACATATTGGCATGGATAGTTAAGTGTTGCCACTGGCCTCTACCATTCTGGATTCATTCATTATTCCTAAAAGATCAGAAAACCCAATTCTACTGTAGCATCATCATCTTGAGCCTGCAGAGTACAGGTCACTGTATAGATGTTCAAAGGCGTTGACATGCCCTCACCAACATTTATCTGTATGTCTTGGTGAAGGGAATTTCCTCTGAGCCCTTCCAGGTTGGGGCATGATTAGGGAATAGCTGAGCCAGTAGATACTGCATAAATTTCATATTCTGATTTCCAAGAACTTTCAGATTCCTTCCTCTGTGTTCTTACTAGGGAAGTCCCAGCCATTTCAACCACATTGACTACAGGCTACCTCTAAGTCCAGACTTCAAAATTATTCAAACTAGCAGATATTATCTCCATTCCC